TCTATTAAACCATGCTCAAACATCATTGTGAAACTATAGCGACTATTGGCTTTTCCAAGCTTGAAAGCAACTTTTGCTTCTCAATCTTCTCTGTCTAGAATGCTCTGAATTTTCTGTGGTGAAGAATGCTCTAAATCTAAAAAATTATAGCTTATATATCTTCTGGATTAGGAGTCCAATTCTATCTATAACTTCTCCATTATTCTTCACATTATTAAGTTACCATTCTGTCCTTCTTCCCTGGTTGAAAGGAATCTTTATGAAAACGGGCTTGTCGAGATGGGTCTTGAGCCTTCAAAGGTTTCTAACTCAGTACCCATAATTGGACTTGCCTTGACTGCAATGTTCGAGCTCCTATAATGGGCTTTTCTTAATCAAATAAGTTTGAAATATTTATAACTTGAAAAAATAAAAATAAAACCCAAATAAGTTTTCAAATCAGCCCCATTTTTGAAACAGGGTAAAAAGATTGAAATTTGCAATTAAGATGCAATTATCCTCAATGAAGCATGAAGTTACTCAATAAATCCTAATTAAATTGTATTAAAATAGAACAAATTAGGACTTATCAACTATACATATATATGTTGGACTCTTTCTGTTACAAAATAAATTTATAAAATATAGTATTTTATTCTATGTTAAAAAGTTTATTCTTAGCATATATTCATATTTGAATCCAAATATATTCTGTGATTTTTTTTTTTTTTTTGCAATTTATGATAGAATTATTACTCGGATATCACTTATAATAATTTGAGAGACCCTATCAATTTATTGAGTTTAAAATACTAAATAAAAATATTTAAATTCAAATCATTTAGTAACAACTTTTTAAAATTTTATAAGTTTTATGATCTCACACTTACAAATTATTAGAGGACGAAATACCACAACTTATCTTTAACAAGTAAAAATATTTTTCAAAAAAATCATAAAACTGTAAAGACTCTTTTGGGACTCACTTTTCCATTCTTTCTTTTTACCTCTTGTAGATAAAAGTTCAGAATATGTTCAGATCACGAAAGTAAAAGAAAAATGTGCATCACATAGCACGTGACAACTACTTTTGTTTTTTTCACGAGGGCATCTAATATAACTTGGGGTTAAAGGCATAAAACCCTGGTATCTATTTTTTTTTATATCCGACAAAACTCTTTTGTAATATAAAAAAAGTACCAATTTTTTTTGTATTTTAAGATTCTCTAAACATTTGTCATATTTTTTTTCACAACTAATAATGTTAAATTATAATAATTGGATCAAGGACTTATTGAAAGAGTATAAAAGATAGAGATTTAACATATAAAAAAGAAAGAGTTTGGAGATCAAAATAAATAAAGTGTATTAAGTATTTTCAATTTTTTTTATTTTTTATTTTTAAAAAGATTTGTAGAATTCTTAGTTTAATGTTCCTTATTTTGAAGAAGTAAACAATCAGTATGAAAAGTATCATTTTAAAAGATTTTAAGAAACATAAAATACACTTATAAAAAAGGAAAAAATAATGAAAAAAATAATAATTAGAGACATTCAACTCTTGATATTAGAAAATTGAGTTTGTTATAGAAAGAATAAATCATATGACGAAGGATAACATTTTTAATTAAAGAATTATTTTTAGTTTTAACCAAATTATAGAAAAGTAAAATTTAGAACCATTTTCACTTAAAACAAAAATAAGAGGATATTGAAAGACAATATATTTTATTTTAATTCTTATAAGAATTTTGTAAAAACTAACCAGAAAAGATAATAAGAAAGCATTGTGCTTGGTAAACTTTATTGGACAGGGGATTTTAGGAAATGGAATAATAAAACACAATATATTTTTGTTCAATTTTCATATTAAGAGGGGAGTTTGTGTAAGTTAATTAAAATACGGATAGATATTATGACTTTTTTTCCATCTAACTTGTATACCAAATTTAGTAAGAAACTATTAAGTAGAATTGTCATCTCACGTAACTAATAAAAGGTAATATGATATAATATTCTATCTAAGTAATATGATTTAATATACTGTCAAATAATAATGTAATCATCAAAATTGAACCTAAAACACTTTTGATATAATATAATGAGTAATTAAGTACATTAATAATTAATCATAGGTACGTTAAAATTTTTAAAAATATTAATAAAACAAATTGAAACAAGTGTTGTAATCAATAATTGTGGCATATTTTAAAATTTTAAAGAAACGAAACGCGGAAACTTCTGTCAGAATTGTAGAGAAGGGTGGTGAAGACCTCTGAATAACTTGTCACCAACCGATGAAATTGCAACACGCAGAAGATTACATTCATGGAAGATCTTCCTTTTGGAGGGGTGTTGCCATATATTCCCGAAGGGAACTTGACCGTCAAAACCCTTGGAGGGGCGTTGCAATGTGCGCATATATATATATATATGGCAACGCCCTTCAGGGGACTTTTATTCCCATCTAAGTCGCCCTTTGGACCCCAAGGACACCTTGCATTGCAGATGGTTGTCGATTCCTGATTGGCTGGTATATCAATTTTGGCTGTTGATTCGTTGATGTTACCTTCAAATGTGGTTTTCCATGGCCCCCTGGAGCCTTTAATTTCCTTTAGCGTCTTCGTCGTATCCAGGGGTGAGGGGATGGTGCAGTTGTTTTTACCCAAAAAGGAAGGGTAAAGTTTTAGTGACATTTTTTTTTTTCCTTTTTCACTTTTGACCCGTTGGATTTAAGTGGTGTTTGTAATAATTTATCAAAAGTGATTTTAGGTTTTTTAATGCACATAATCATTTTTAATGTATTTAAAAATCTAATTTTAGTTTATGTTTCTCTTCATTTAAGTAAAAAAAATAGAATCAAAAGTATATGGATAACATTATTATAATTAAGTAGAATCTATTTTGAACTTTGAATTTTTTTTAATCCAAAATTATTTAATGGAATATTTTTTTATAATTTTTTCAAAATTTTTTCTCTTCTTAAAACAAATTATAAAAGTTACATTTTAAACACCCATTTTACTACTTTTGATAATTTCAAACATATTTTATAAACACATTATAAATCACTTTTACCCACTTTTCCTTTAAATTCTAATTTTTAATTTTTGTAAAAGTATTTGCAAACATTACCCTAATAAGTTAAAGATTAAGGGGGTGTTTGTAATATAAGTTTATTGGTTGTTTAAGTTTTTGATTCTACGATCAATTTGGCGTATCTGATTTATTAGACAATAAGATTTTAAACCACCAATTTTTAACATTTTAATTTCTCTAGTGTATTTTATGATAAAAACTATATTATATTTAGGGAAATATTAGAATTAAAATTATGGAAATATTGTAGAAAGAAATTTGAAAATTTTAGGGAAAAGTAATTTTAAAGAAAGAAAATTAAAAATTGAAAAAAATTGGGAAAAAAAATTTTTGAAAGCAAAATTTAGAATATGTAGAGAGAAAATTTTTTAAAAAATATAGAATAGAAATTTTAGAGAAAGAAAGTTCAAAAATTTAGACAGATAAAGTTTAAAATTTTAAAGAATAAAATTTTGGAGAGAAAAAAATTTAAAAAACTAGAGAAACAAGTCAAAAAAATAGAGAGAGAAAGTGAAAAAATTTAGAGATACTATTTTTTTAAAAAAAAAGTTAAAAAAAATTAAGAATAGAGAATTCTAAAGAGATAAAATTATATTTGAGTATCAAACAAATTACTAATTTTTAAATTAACTTATAAGATAGGGTGTCCAATAGGTTCTCTAATTTAAACTATTTAGAAATTGATATATAAAAGTTTAAAAATTTATGATATGAAAGTTACCAAACACTTCTTAATTAAAAAAATGAGTTTTTTTTTTCTAAATTAAAAGGCCAAAACAAAAAGCTAAGCCCTTTCAATTTAAATTATGAGACTCCCTTCAAACGGATTTGTTGCTTTTATGGATAACAAACATTGAGCCCAAAAAAAAAAAAAAAAATCTGAACATTTTTTTGATCTAACTGAATTCATAATTGAAAGAAAGTCGGACATCAAAACAACTCTGAATCTTTGAATTTCACTTCACTCTTACATTCATATTATTTTTCACTTTCAGACCACAAGTTGACGAGGAGAGACTCCGGCTGTGGCAGAGGGAGCAATAAATAGAAATTTAGAAAAACAATAAAGAAAACATGAGGTGAGTGAGTTTGCCCAGGCCTACACTCTCACAGGAGCACCATGTAATTCTATTCCAATTTCTTGTACTTTTCCATTCCTCTCAGATAATGGAAATCCGCCTCATTAACATTGCTCAAAACATTACCACTTCAAAAATGCATCAAACGGTGTTCTCATTTCCTGCATTTTGCAAATTAAATTAAATCAAATCATAATAGTTTAAATCTCTCTTCAGTCTTCACTAGTTCGACAATCAACTTTACCAAACGAAAATTAAATTAATAAATCGTATTTTTAGATAAGACTGTATAAACCCACCCTCACATTATTGTTACCATAAATTTCGACGAAGCTACTAATGGATCCACAACGTCGCTCTCAGAGGTAAATGGTAATAGCACGTAGAAAAGGAAATATGCTTAACAACTCTCTCTGTCCACGTTACACTTCAGCCTGTCACCCGTGCCACGTTTTATTCTAGTGGTTAACTAAGACATCAATCCCAAATCTTCTTAGGCGACAGAATCAAAGTGTCTCTTGTCACATCCCTTTTCCCCCTATTAGATCAACTGTAGGCTGTAACTTGCTTGTTGTGCTGACATATCCTCTCTCTCTTCTAAAAAAATATTATACACCGGCCATGAACTGTCTATCCAATGCAAACGTTCAAAACCAGAGCGATTACCAAGCTGACCATGTAACCAGGGAAGGTTTCCTATTAGTCCGGGGACGAGAGAGGCTCTTCAACAAAGTGCTAATGTAAAGCGATATCAAACAGTACCGCCTAGTCATACCAAAGCGCCTAGCTAGAGGGCACTTACTGTTTCACCTTCAAAGCTGCTCAAAAGCGGCTTTTCTTTTGATGGAGGATAATGAAGAGAGAGCATGGAGTTTCATGTACTCCATCTGGAGAAGCAGTGATGCTCATGTGCTAACGGGCGAATGGAGCAAGTTTGTGAAGGAGAAGAGCTTGGAAGCAGGAGACGTGATTTGTTTTTCTCGTTCAACTGGGCCAGACAAGCGGCTTTTCATGGACTGGAAGCCCCGAATCCAGTCGGGTATAGCAGAACTATCACCACTCAGAATTACTCAAAAGGAACAAACAGTCAGGCTATTTGGGGTTAATATCTCAATAACCCAACCAAATTAAGGATGTCCAAGCCCAGATTTTCCTGTGCCAGCACCATGGTTTCTAATATTTATTTAAGCAGAGATGTAATTATATATGTCTTCTTGAGTGCAAGAGAGAGTAAAAAATGAAAGAGAAAAAATCAACACTCTCGTAACCCAGAGGAGAGTTTAATTGTATATATTTACATTAACAAGTTATTGTGTATGTACAGTGAGAGTCAATTAGCTATCCAAAACTACGGTCCTAAATTATAGTTCTAAATCAATGGGAATAGTATGAAAGAAAACTAAATCAACATACAAGGAAACTAAATTTTATATATATATATATATATATATATATCAAAAAGAACAATTAGGGTCTAGAATCTAGATATCTATATATACCTGCGCTTAAATACACATGTATAGGTTTTAATGAGATGGCTACACATTTCCATTCTAGCTTTCTAATCGGAAGTTGCGTTTCTCTCCCCAGTATTGAAGTGTTATTAATGGAGAATATGTTCTTTACTTCTGATGCTAAACTATTTATTTATTTTTACTTGTATATAATTCTTCGTAATTTTTGGGTTGTCATGGTTAAACTATGCAAATACATAGGTAAATTAGTTTGGAGTGGGTTATTGTTTATTTGAAGTATGTTAGGTTTGTTAGATGGGATGAACTTCAATTATGAAATAAGCAAACCAACACTTATTATTATTTTTTCAAGCAATGGAACCGGGCAGCTAATTAACCCTCTCGACAATGTAAACTTCGTTCACATGCTAAATCTCGAAAGCAAGTATTCAGGCTTACTTTGAGGTTTAGACCTAGCACCTAATTATTGACAACAGGTTTCAGGCAAATGATATGATAAAGGAACATGGCACTTAAGGTGTGTTTGGATCTTGCTTACAGTGAAAAAGTGCTCAATTGTAAAGAAACATGTGCTTGATTGTAAAGTAACAAGTAGGTGATTGTAAAAAAAAAATAAAAAAATAGAGATATGCACTAGTAATTGTAAAAAAATCATTGCTCAATTGTAAATAAGCAAATGGGTGATTGTGAAAAAAAAAATGCATAATTGTAGAAGTACATGAAAAAAAAACAATGCATGCACCCGATCTTAGTACTAGTTTTCAATTATAAAGAAACAGGAGGATGATTATAAAAAGGTACATAGGTAATTGTAAAAACACATATGCTTGACTACTAGTCTAAAAAACTATTACTCAATTGTAAAGAAACATGTGAATGATTATAAAAAAATAGGTAACTGATTATAAAAATAGCTACTTGATTGTAATAATATACACTTCAAGGATAAGCTATCACCGTTTATCTAGATCCTCCTTTCCTCCCAAAAAATGGAAGAAGGATCTTCTTGGATGCATCCCTGTTGTTGTTGTTTTGTCTCTTTCCTTTCCTAAGCTGTTTCTAAGTTGTTTCTATTTTTACCCTCTTACTTTCTTCTCTTTATTCCGATTTTTAGATTTCTTTCAACTTTTTAAATAAAAAATGATTGATGTTATTCTGTTTAATTAATAAACATATGTAATAAATAAGAAAATACTAAAGATTCCAGCTATAGAATTTCCAAGAATGTTTGAATAATAAACATAAATAAGTGATAAGAGACAAGAAAATAGGGATTTAGCACAATTGAAAGTTGATACAAAAGGAATAACTTTTGTTACAAATTGAATTTGTAACAAAAATAAATATGTTGTAATGTTGTTGCAAATAGTGTTGTTACAAAAAGTAATTGTAACAAAACTGGTGTAACTAATCTTGTTGTAAAATGGAAGTCATGTTGCAATAATTGATTTTGTTATTTATTATTTGCAACAAAAATTCACTTGTTACAAAATGGAAATTATTTTGCAACAATTGATTTTGTTACTTATTATTTGCAATAAAAAAATGTCTTGTCACAAAATGGAAGTCATTTTGCAACAATTGTTTTTGTTACTTATTATTTGCAACAAAAAATGTATTGTTGCTTAATCTAATAATTGAATTTCGAATATAATAAATATAAAAATAATTTGCAACAATTAATTTTTTGTTAGTTGTTTTTTGCAACAATATTTATTATCACTTAGCCTAATCATTTAATTGCAAATATTATAAAATATGAAAATTATTTTTTGCAACAATATTTATTGTTATGTAACCTAATTATTTAAATTCAAATATTATAAATGTATGAAAGTAATTTGCAACAATTCATTTTTTATTATTTTGTAACAATATTTGTTGTTACGGAACCTAATTTATTAATTTCAAATGTAAAAATTTATAAAAATAAAAATTAATAATTACAACAACCCAATAAATAAATCAGTATTCAATAAAATGAATATTCATAATAATTTGCTTTACAATCTAACAAATAAATGCTTTTACTAACTACTTAAAAATATTAAGACAGCTCCAAAAAATTAAAAAAATCCTTCAAACTATTACTATAAATCTAAAGAAGAAACAAATTTCTAAAAACTCAATTAATCTTCCACCATGAACTCCAAGCAAAGTCATCTTCCACCATCAACTCCAAGCCAATCATTTGTCATGCTAACCATTTGATAGAAGAATGAAATAGTTTTTCAAATATTTGTTGAGTCTAAATCAAGTTACAAAATAATGAAATTGAATATCAATATCTAAATTAATGTACAAAAAGAAATAAATTACAATAAGGCAATTATTTTGCAATATATTCAGACATAATGCAAGATTATGACATCAAAACAAGGCACTACCAAATTCAAACCAAATGTATGAATTAAATTTAAATATTAAATTATAATCAAAATTATATACCATTTTAGCATCATCTCAATAAGGTGAAAATATTCAACATATTATAAATAGTAATATAATAAATTTTATTAAAGTAATTTACATTTATAGCTTGACCAGTTTGGAGTTTACTCAAGAAAGCTTGCAATGTTATTTGCATCTCAGCTTACATCTTAATTTGTATCTTAGCTTACATCGTAGCTTGTATCTCTACATTTTGAATCTCCATATTAGTCTTAATATGTGCTAACTTTTCTTCTTGTTACACACACTATAGATCAAGTTATCCTTTCAATTCTTTAACCTCCTTGACCACTTGAACATGCTCTTGAGTAACTTGTTCCAATTGAGCTTCTATCTTAATTTTACATTTGGCAGGTTTAAGACCATAGCTATGGCAAGTCTTCTCGCTCATCACTTGCTAAAAAGTTTCATCAACAGTTAAGGTCGAAGGATTTTCTCCATTTTTAGATTCTTCCATTAGAATTTTGGCACGATCCTACAATATTGAAAATTTCATGCACAATTTGGACACTAATTCTTTAGCAACTATTGGATAGAACTCATTGCCAAATGTAAGAATTATGTCATATGGTTTAATAATATAATATATAAAAAGAAAATTACACACATCAACTTGTTGTACTTTTTTATTGACCCTAGTATCATCACTCTTTATATGAGTTATCTGCCACATCTTATGCATAATAGGTTATTTTTTAGTTATAGGTTTTCTCTGCACAAAAAATTTAATTATATGAGATATATAAAAATAATTAACACAATATATTAATATATTGTATCTATTTTGTCATGACTAAGAACCTTTAATGTTTTGCAACCAGCAGCATGAGGGATCACATGCTCCTTCCTATTCTCCTTGTTTTTTGAGCTAATTACCTATATTAAGTTATTCAAATAATAAAAATTTAATTAACCAACAATATGTTTGTAATTCTTATTTATATTTTTAAATTTTGTATCATCATACCTGAAAGTCAGGAGTTTCAAAATAGTTCACTAAATAATTCCACTCATCTATGGAGACATTTGTTGGACAATGTGATAAGCATTTCTCATCGGTATCATACTTTTTTATAGTGCTCATGTGAGTGTACACGCCAAATTCAATAGGCACTATTAGTTAATGATTTTATAACTTTGCACACAATCTCAGTATTAGGTATGTCAAATTTTTTCTATTAATTCATATAACAATAACATTATAAATATACATACTCTAATTATATTTCAAAATAATATGCTCTCAATGTGTAGATTATTACCAAGATGAGATCACATATCTTTTCTTTAATGTCAATATCAATTTCTTTCCATTGCTTTTATAGTTAGTGGAGCACTTAGTCCAGTAATTACTCCAATCTCAGAAGCAAACTTTTGAGCATTTATATCAATTGTAGCTAACTCTTCCATTTAAATTGTTACTAGTAACTTTGTTCTCCCACATTTTTTTATTGCCTTAGTAGTAGCAATACCTCATGATGCACATTTTGTATTTTTTCATTGCCTATTGTAACATCCCGAATTTATGAATTTGTTCCTAATAAGAGATGTATTTATATATATGTACAGATATAATAATTAATTAAAGAAATAAATGAAATTCTAGACTTGGGTCATTGGCATGGAGTACAAAAGTTTAATGAAGCATCTATGAGAGTAAACAAAAGAATTGGTAAGGAAATAAGAGCTCGGGGAATACTAGGGGCAGTCTTGTCATTTTTCAATTTGTCGAGTCATGAACACTGCTGAATATAAGAACACTTGATAAGTAGCAAGTGAGCCTAGGAGGAGAAAGGATAAATTAAGAAAGGAAAATCTAAGATTTGGCCAGTAAAATACTAGTGGAGGAAAAGGAGGGACTAAATTGAATGGAATCAGGAATGTGGGTAAATTAGAAAATAGTAGGGGGAAGAATGAAGAAATTGAAATAATTAGGACAATAATTTGAGGAGATTGAGGGTGTTGATCAAAAGAATTGAATTAAGTGGGGGCTCGATCGAATAAAATAGACAAATTGGGATTTAAATTTGGATATTTTAGGAGGACAATTGAAGATCTTAGGAAGAAATGGGGCTCAAATGGAGGAATTAAATTTTGACGCTTAGAATTTGAATTTAAAAAGGGACTAATCTGAAAGAAATGAAAAATCAAGAACTAAAGTGGAAATCTGTGAAAAAAAAAAATCCTCAACCGAACTTGCTTGGA